CGTCCTCCCCCACCTCCTCCTCCTCCTCCTCCTCCTCCTCCTCCTCCTCCTCCTCCTCATCATCATCATCATCATCCGCCCCAGGCGGGGGCCTGGCACCTGTTTTCATGGTGCCAGCGCCACACTTGCCTCGGGGCACACTGTCATGTGCAGTTGGTGCAATGGGCCTGGCGTAGGAAGGCGGTCGTCTTCGTTGGCGGACAGGGATGAGTACGGCTCCCCTGCATCCGCGCAATGGGTCTGAACCTTGGCCCATCTGCAGCGGCGTCAGCTGCAAAGGAGGAGTCGGGGTCGCGTATTTCCGCGGAGTGGCGGGGCCATGTGGTCCGTGAGTCCCATGGGGCCTTCGGGTCTACTCCCGGGCGGCGTTCTCTCAGGTGGTGCCAGTGGCCCTGGGCAGACCCCGCTTACGCGTGCCCGTCGGTTGGCACCCATACTGGCCCTGCTGCTCTTATTTGAGCAAACGGCTTAAAACCGTTGGCAGGTGAACTAGGCCAGTGCAGCCCCCCGTCGGCCAAAGCCGTTGGCAAGGATCGGCAAGCGACGGGTGAACAATGGGCTTGCAGGGTCCCGTCGGCGGGGCAGCGAGTCGCTAGGCGACATGCCCCTACCCCGTGCCAGCGTCCATTCGCCCTACGGGCGACGCGGGGCTTGTCGTTGTGAATGCCCTGCTGTAGGGGCACGGCGGCATGATTACTGCGATCCCATGCTCCCATGCTCCTCATCCTCCTCCTCCTCCTCCTCCTCCTGCTGCACCCCCCTCCTCCTCCTCCTCCACCACTACCCACCTCCTCCTCCACCTCCTCCTCCTCCTCCTCCACCTCCTCCTCCTCCCTCCTCCCTCCTCCTCCTCCTCATCATCATCATCATCATCATCATCATCATCATCATCATCATCATCATCATCATCATCATCATCATCATCATCATCATCATCATCATCATCATCAGCATCAGCATCATCATCATCATCATCATCATCATCCTCATCCTCATCCTCATCCTCCCCTCCATCCTCCCCCACCTCCTCCTCCCCCTCCTCGTCATCCTCCTCCTCCTCCTCCTCCTCCTCCTCCTCCTCCTCCTCCTCCTCCCCCTCCTCAAACTCTCCTCTGCGGCAGGCGCCTGGTGGCGGTCGTGCTCCTCTGGGCCAGCGGCGCCCTCTTCCTGGCCACGCGTACGGGCCGCTGGTTCTCCCCAGCCGCGCACCACGGCGGCACGGTGGGCACGGAAGCAGATGGAGGGAGGAAGGAGTAGAGGGGAGATGCGGGAGAAGACGAGCAGGAGACGAGGTGGGGGAAAGGATACGGAAGGAGGAGGAGGGAGGAGGAGGACAAGGAGGAGGAGTAGGAGGAGAATAGGAGGAGGAGGACGGGGAGGAGGAGGAGGAGGAGGAAAAGAAAAGAAAACGTGGGGGGGAGGACGAGGAGGAGGATGAAAGGACGAAGGGAGGAGGAGCAGAAGGGGCGAAGAAGATGCGCATGAGGGCAAGTCGGCGGCGCGCTCAAGGAGGGAAGGCAGAGGAACCAAGCTTTCTCGGAAGGCTCAGCAAGACTTCGGACTTATGAGAAGCTTACGAAGCCTTCCCCGAGGCCAAACTGGGCTTCTCAAAAGCCAGAAAGCATCTGAGAATCTCCGACATCTCCTGAGAGAGCCTGCCGCCTCTAATTTCCCCCAGCCTCGCCGCCGAACGAGGGAGGACGAATCATATGATGGCGGTGGCAACGGGTGATGGGCTGCGACGATGGTGACGACAAGATGGGCGATGGTAATGACGGTGATGATGATGCTGAGGATGATGATGGTGGTGGTGATGGTGATAAAGAGAAGATGATGTTGATGATGAACGTGGCGATTGTGGCGAGGAGGAGGATGGGGGTGAAGCCGATGACAGTTGATCATGATGATGATGATAATCATAACGACGATGTTAACGATGATGATGATGATGATGATGATGATGATGATGATGATGATGATGATGATGATGATGGTGATGATGATGATGATGATGATGATGATGATGATGATGATGATGATGATGATGGCGGTGATGGTGATAATGATGATGGTGGTGATGATGATGGTGCTGATGATGATGATGATGATGATGATGATGATAATGATGATGATGATGATGATGATGATGATGATGATGATGATGATGATGATGATGATGACGATGATGATCCGCCACAATGCCTTGCGCACGTTGAGGTGTGGAAGGCTGCCAAGGTGTGTCGGTTCGGGCTCCTGTGAATCTTCAAGGGGCCCGCTTCGTTGCGCGCGCCGCCCCCTCCTCCCGAGGCCATAATCCTCGCAAAATACAGCCGGCACGCGCTCCGTAGGCCCTAATGTCTCTAAGACTGCCAGTATTGTTCCGAAACGGGCCGCGGTTGCCCCAAGACGGCCCAACGCGGCTTCAAGACGGCCCACGAGGCCGTCGACGCGTCCCACAAAAAAGCCCAAGAGCTCCCCCAAAAACGGCCTCGAAAGGCACACATCACTGATGAGTCATATGTTCGTGAATGTGTTTCGGGTTGCCGCCTCTTTCGGGCCTCCGACGTTCCAAAAACGACCACCCGAGGCCACCAGGGCGGCCCAAGAGGCCCCAAAGATGGCCCAGAGATGGCCCCGAGACAGCCAAGACGGTCAAGAGGCGCCCCGCAGGCTCAAGAGGCCCCCCAAACAGAGCTCCAAGACGGCCCCAGAGAGCTCCAAAACGACCCAGAGGGGCGCCCACGACTGCCCAGGAGGGCCCCAAGACGCCCCCCCAAAAGGGCCCATGACTGGGAGCACGAACCCCGAATCCGAGCTGTCCAAAGAGCCCCCCCCAGCAGAACCCTGGCCTTCTCGAGTGGCTGCCACCCGAACTGCTGCGCTGGCGCGGTGGCGGCATTGCCAGAGGCAGCTGGAGAAGGGTGACGACGATGACGACTACACCGTGCGAAATGCTTAAGAAATCATGGGCTAAGAAATTCATTGTCTCAGAACTTGAATAAAAACCCAACATTTCCATTAAAATCTTAAGATTTACATTGAAACGTTAAGAATAATCGAGACTCTGGCCGAAAACTTAAGTTTTCTTAAGCATCGCCTAAGGTGTATAAGGACGGTGGTGGCGATGACGCTGCCGACGGCCCGCCGACGAGGCGGCGCGCCACCACGACAGTGGGCGGGCGCGAGCGAAGCACTCGACCAGAGAGCAGAGGCGACCACATCGCGCTGGGCGTCGGGAGCCCGACCGTCGACGCAGCAGAGGGCGGGGAAAGGGGGGGCGAGGCCAAGAGTAGGAGGAAAACAAACCTCCCTCGCTTTTGACCACCCTCGCTTCCAAGAGATACCAAACGATGCCAAATTGCAGCCTGTACTGGTCAGGCCGCTTGACGAGGAGGCGCGTGGTATGGCTTGGTTTTGCCTGGAAGCGAAAGCGGGGTAGGTAATTCAAGCTCTGAAAGAGAGAAGAGGGGGCGGGCCAGAGTCAAGAAAGGGCCCTTAGCACGGGGACGGCGCTGGCAGCAGCACTGCTCGTTCGTCGGGGCACTCGCGACAACCAGTTCGCCGGGGCGGTCGCGACCAACAGACGAAGACAACGCCCAAGCTGAAAAAGGAACGGGGCCGAAGTCCAGACCCCGCGGCACGGGGCCCTCAGGGCCGCAACACGTACAAACAAACATCGAGGCAGCCCGGCTAATTTCACGCACGCGAACCCGGAAAATGAAAGCCAAATTGCCACAGAGAAGGGGGGAGGGCAATCATGCACTCTTCTGGCAAGTCGGCCAACCATCGCGCCAGATTGCTCCGCTTCTCGCGGAGCTCTAGGGAGCTGGGTTTGCATTGCAGAGGCCTGGGGTCGCAAGGACAGCTCTGCGCGGCGAAAAGGGGCGTCTGCTGCAACGTAGTCCCGACATCTGCTGCAGCCGGTCTGGAAACGCAGTCAGGCCTGGGACCCCCGACGAACCCTGCAGTTAAACTGGCGCTCCCGCCGCCAGTGCAAACCAGGACGCGCTGCGCGCTGCAGCCTGCACCCCAACATCACGCATCACCCTGCCGCTGAATGTTCGCCGAAGGCCAGCATGAATGATGCGCGGCGCTCAATCATCAAATTAGAACAGACGCGGGAAGGGGCTATGCAATGAGAGCATGTAGTCAGGCACAGAAAGGGCCCGAGAATTGCAGGCTCCAGTCGACGCAGCAAGGCCCGCACCCCCGTGGCGAAGCTTACACGGGCGAGCATCAGGCCCCGCGGACTCCCCCGGATGACTGCGCCAAGTCACGATCGAGAATCAGTCGTATCCACCTTCTAGGCTTCCAGAAAACACTTGAAAAGTATGCAAATGCAGGTTCGCAGGCCCATAGACAGGAGCGATACCTGTTCAGGAGCGCGACTCAGCCCGATAGCATCAGCGAGTCAGCACAGCGCACCGAAGATCGGCCAAGGATCAGTAAGCAATTTGTTCGGAAGGAACCTTAGGGCGTCAGCGTAACCTAAGAGGCTGAACCTGACGGGATCCGCGGCCATTCGCCAATGGAACACTGGGTCCATGGCCAGGGCAAACAGGAGCATGGACGCTGGGCAGCCCTGACGGACCCCACGACCCACCGCAAAACAAAGGAAGCCAGGGTCATGCCACAAAGAGGATTCCGAGCAACGGTGTCCTGGTACAGATTGTTCAAAGCAAGCAGTCCATGCTGGTATGCCCATGTGCACTAGACTCACTAGAACGTATCATGCCCACTCAATTAGCAGACTCGGGACTGCGGCTTCGAAATCTTCGAGCAATTGAGCTGCTTCCTGCCGGGCACCAAAGTAAACCAACAAACCGTTTGCTTCGCATCAAGCCACGGCATCATAAGCAAAACGACCTGAGACGCCAGACCGACAAGACCGAATAGTACGAATGCTGAACCGTGTAAGAAGGTGGGCGACGACCAGCCGTCGCAAACTCGCCATCAGCGCACCCCATCGACAACGGACGAGTCGACGAGGGCTTCCGAGC